CAGTTCGAAAACATGCAAATGTGAGTAGATCAATAGGTACCGCTCCGGCGGGAAGGTAATGGCGCTCCATGCAGTCATGCCGGCCACATGACCTTGGAGGTGTCTACGGACAACGCTGGCTCTTCGGCTTAGAAATGGAGATGAGCACCACACCCCAGAGTCAGACATGACTGGACTTAATGTCAGGGGACTACCTTTACCTTTTACCTTATGAAAATAAGTCTCTCCAGAACTTTGTAGAGGTGGCACAACAGGGAGATTGGTCTGTAGCTTTTTGGGTCATTACGGTCTTTGCCTGGCTTCAAGATGGCGATGACTCTTGCTTTCCTCCAGATTTTGGGGATCTGACAGGATGCAGTGCAGTTGTTCATCAGCTCCAGCAGCCAGCGCCTTGCTTTTGGACCAAAGTTCTTGATTTGTTCCATCCGTAGATCATCCAAGCCAGCTGCTTTGCCATTCTTACATTTGTTGAGAGCCATGTCCAATTCAGTAGATGTAAAGGGTTCATGAAGGTTGTTGTTCTCAATCTCTTGTTGTCTGGCTATTGGTTTCTTTCCTACTTTGGTGGCAAGGTTGGGTTTCCCGTTCTTCAAGAGTTGGTGTGCTATCTGATCTGCCTTTATGTTGGCATGGGTATTAGTTTGTGAGGGGTCATTGCTCAGCCGTCTTAGCAACCTCCACGCCTTCTGGCTGCTCCTGCCCATGTCGACCTCTGTGATCAGCTTGATCCACTGTTCTTTCTTGGCTTCAGAGATGGAGGACACAATGTTCTGCGCTGCCTGAAGAGTCTGCTCACTAAATGGGTCTTCGTTGTGGAGCCTGTAATAGTTTTCCAACAAGGCAGCTGTTTCAGGAGTAATGCCCTGAAGGTAGTGGGTTCTGCAGCCTCTCGGTATAGAGGCCCGTGAGCAGGTTTTCACTATTTCAATAAAATGTTCATATTCCTCAGGGATTGGCACGACCGATGTGATCATGTCATCTAACATGTCTGAGAATTTAGTCCAATCTGCCTTTCTGAAGTTGTATCTTCGTTTAAATCGAACTTCCTGAGGCCTTATTGTTGGGAACAGTTGGCATATTATTGGTCGGTGCTGTGTGTTTGGAATTGGTGGTCCCACTGATTTAGTGCATTGCTGTACAATGCTGTCGCTCACAAATAGGAGGTCTGGGTTATAACCTCGGTGCCATCTCCCGCTGTTGTAGGATGGTGGGAGCTTGCTATCATGGATGAGTGATAGTTTGTGCAGTTCAGACCAGGACACGACAGCCTCTCCATTTCTGTCCTCTTGGGCATAGCCGCATACATGGCTATGGCTGTTGAAGTCACCAATTACTACCGCCCTTTGGTGCCTGTCAAAGTTCTCGGGGGAGGAGAAGCAGAACTCTTCATTTGGGGGCTTGTACACAGAGGTGATGGTGATGTTATTAAGCTCTACTGTTATAACCTCGATATTGTTTTCTTCATTATTGTGGGCACTGCTGACTTGGAGGCCTGGTTTGACAAAGACAGTGCTTCCATACTGCACATGTGGTCTTTCCGCTACTAGGATTATTCCTGGAACTTTGGGTCGTTTCTGTCATTTATCCCTGTGTGTTTCTTGGACACACAGCACGTCACATTTCTTATCTCGGCACAGTTCATAGAGCAGTTGTTCTTTGGCAGCTAACATGCCTTCGATGTTGATTGAGATTATTGTCATGGTTGGTCCTGAAAAGGATCGTTGGTTGTTTTGCTTGCTTGTTTGCATGCTGCAAGTCGTCTCTGGTTGCTTCTGGATCGAGAGAATCGGCCGTCTACGAAGACATTGCCCAGGGGACACCCAGATGTCTTGCAATCCTGCGAGGAGGCTTCTCTCATGTTCCCCATGAGAGTAATTGGTAAAGAATAATTGGTAAAGCACAGTCATTCTTTAGTAGTGTCCTCCAATCCTCAAGCTCTCAGAGGACATTATACAATATGCCTTCTCTGTATGAGGATATAGTTAACTTAAGGGGAAGATGTTGGTACCAGGTTCACCCCCTCTTCCTTTCCATAATAAATGAGTGGACACCACAGTTTTAATCAGCAAATATCATCATCATATTTCATTACTTATTAATCGCCCTCCATCCGAGAATGCTCTAGGCGATTTACAGCTAAATTGTAAAAGATAAAATACATACATACAGAATTTAAAAATTAACAGAGATCGAATGCTCTAGTAAAAAGCCAGGTCTTAAGTGCTAGAGTAAAAGACCCTAAGTCACACATGGCTCTCATATAGGGCAGCAAGGAATTCCATAAGGCAGGGGCAGAAATAGAAAAAGCCCTGCGTCTGGTACTTTCCAAGTGCACTTCTCTAGGACCCGGTATATAGAGTAAGTCGTTGGGCTGGTCGTTGCGACCTCCGATGATGGGAGAAGGAGAGGCGGTCCCTAAGGTACGATGGACCCTGGCCGTAAAGAATTTTAAAGGTCAGAACTAACATCTTATACAGGCCACGGTACTCAGTTGGAAGCCAATGTAAATGTTGCAGCACTGGTGTTATATGGCATTTCATGGGCGTTCTTGTGAGTAACCTGGCTGCCGCATTCTGAACAATACGGAGCTTTCGGGTCGTAGACATCGGAAGGCCAACATACAGGGCGTTGCAATAGTCCAGCCTAGACGTGACCGTGGCATGGAAGACAGTTGCCAGAGCCTCGTCAGATAGGTAGGGTGCCAGTTGCCTCGCTTGTCGTAGATGGAAAAAGGCCTGTTTGCTGGCAGCAGCGACCTGAGCTTCCATTGTCAGCTGCGAATCCAGGATGACACCTAAGCTATTAACAGTGGTCGATGGAAATACAGCGGCACCATCGAAGGTGGGTAACGGATGAGTCAGACCTGCCGGGCGGCCATGCCAGAGAATCTCAGTCTTCGCCGGGTTCACCTTCAGTCTGCTAGCACATAGCCAGTTCAACAGAGCTTCCAGACATAGGGTGAAATTGTCTGGAATTGACATTGCTCCAGGTGCAGAATGAGTTGGGTATCATCCGCATATTGGTAGCAGTCCAGGCCGAAACTCCGAGCCAAACTAGCAAGGAGTCTAACGTAGATGTTGAAGAGGAGAGAGAATTGCACCTTGGGGGACCCCACATAGGAGAGGGGATCTATCGGAGACTTGATCCATGTACTCCACGTGTTGATTCCGGTTCCAGAGAAATGAGTTGAACCAATTAAGGGCCTGACCGCAAACCCCGGACATGGCAAGACGGTGAATCATTAGATCGTAGTCAAACGCTGCGGTAAGGTCGAGAAGTACCAGTAGCGCAGATCCACCATTGTCAGACTGGCGACGGAGTTCATCCGTAATGGCAACCAGGACTGTCTCCGTCTCATGGCCTGGGCGAAAACCTGACTGAAAAGGGTCCAGGCCAGCTGTGTCATCCAGGAATTGTTGCAATTGTCCCAGTACAGCCCGCTCTATCACCTTACCTAAGAATGGCAGATTATTTATTTATTTATTTATTTACTTCTCAGCCCTCAGGCGACTCAGAGCGGTTAACAACAAATTCCAATATACACAGTAGAAAATCATTGAACATTTAAAAGCAAAGTGATTAAACATAAAACATCAATACATCAATTTAACAAATCCATCACGTCTCATTAATAAAATCAGAATCCAGTCTCCATATCCATTTTCCGTGTTCCAATAATCAATTCAATTGCACTGCCTAGTTGAATGTCTGTTCGAACAGCCAGGTCTTCACTCTCCTCCGGAATGCCAGTAGGGAGGGGGCCGATCTAATGTCCGTAGGAAGGGCGTTCCACAGCCGAGGGGCCACCACTGAGAAGGCCCTATCTCTCGTCCCCGCCAGGCGTGCTTGTGAAGCCGGTGGGATCGAGAGCAGGGCCTCCCCAGACGATCTTAATGTCCTAATTAGAATTAGAAACAGTAATTGGCAAGGGTCATAAGATCCAAGCTAGGTTTCTTTAACAAGGGACGAACCCATGCCTCTTTGAGGTTGTACGGAAAAAAACCCTGTTCAAGAGAGCCATTGATTATACTGCACAATGGATCGAGTAGACCTTCCAAGCAGCTCTTAATCAGCCCAGAGGGGCACGGATCAAGAGAACAGGTGGTTGGTTTTGCAGTAGCCAGAATTCTGGCGACATCTTCCGTGTCAAGCGGTGTAAATTGATCGAAGATAGGCCCGCTAAGTGGCCACAAGGTCTCCAGCTCACTCAAAGTGTCGACTGTGGGGGGAGTTCCTGCCAATTCACGGTCATTTTGTTAGTGAAAAAATTCTGGAATGCCAAAGCTGTAATAGGCATAGTTGTTGAGTTCTGGACTAAAAGAGCCAGACTAATCAAGGCACGAACAATTTTGAATAACTGTGCTAGGCGCAATCTAGCAGAGGCTATTAAGGAAGAATTATATGATTTTTTAGCATCCTTGACGGCTGACTCATAGGACTTGTGAAAAGCCTTAAAAGTAGACATTGACACTTCGTCAGGTTTCCGTTGCCACCGATGTTCCAGCCGCTTTCATGCTTGCTTCATCATCCGTAGCTTGTTAGTGTACCAAGGGGACCGATTCCGGCGAGGGCGGAAGTGGCGTCTGGGAGCAATCTCATCCAAGGCAGCCAACAGACTGGTGTTCCGGTTGTTGACTTGCTCATTGAGAGTGATGCACACAGTTCCAAGGCCCTTAAGGGCATTCAAAAACCTGGCAGGTTCCATGAGTCTTCTAGAGCGGGCAAGGATTGGTTTGACAGCTTGGGAAGGAGGGGATGGAGTCTCGATTCAGGCCTTCAGGGCAGCGTGGTTGGACCAGGGGACATCAATTACCGCCGATAAAGATGTTCGTACTCCAATATGCATAATATGTCTGACTATGCCATCCTTGAGAAACAGTGCTATACTGTATTCCATTGTTTAGCAGTAATGTAAGTACTTCTGAACATATTTGAAAGTGTCTCTTATAGTCAGACTATATGTACAAAAAATAACACTTTCCCCTTGTTTTTAATAATAGGTTCCAAATTGGTTCCCTTCTGGAGTTGGCTACAGATGGGGAGAGACCTTCTCTTTATACGACTGAGATATTTAACTAGGGCCTGGCACCTTAGAAGAAGAAAAGAAAATTAAGTTATTTATGCTGGTCCAAAATAATTGTTCAGATAATTATAGTCGGGTTTTCCAACAGCTATGAAATAAAGATAATACTGAGATTACTCTTCATTACTATTCCGTATTGCACTTGTGAACTCTTTTGAAAACAGTCAAGGATATTGATGTGGTCTTTTTTAAGTTTACAATTGAGTATCAGTCTTTAATCCTTGCAACAGCAATTGTGGATTGTTTTTATTTTGCACAACACATTCCTGTAAACCAAGACAATATAAAAGAGGAATTAATACATGCTAAAAGCCCCATGGATTGTTGTTTTCTCTTTGCCAAATCATTGTTTGCATATTTACTCACAGAAGAATATTTCTTAGAAAACACAAGATGTGACCTTCATTGAAGTGAAGGGGAATTTCTTTTGTTGAGGGTAGATCAAGAATCCTGAAGAAAAAGCTGGATTTGAATATTTTTCAATGTACCTAAACTGGTCAATGATGCTTTTATAATAAAAGCACCGGTTTTCTAAGGCTGTCATGGATAATGCAGACAAAATGGATACATTTAAGGTTCTGTTGATTTCACTAGACATTTCACAGCATACAATTGTACTCACTTAAGTCAGCTGGGAGTAAGACTGCTTGACTTTAACTGAATATTATCTACTGAATAAGGTACATCTTTTAAGAGAAGAAGATATTTCCAATGCTCTCAAGAACAGAAGTTCAGAACACAAGGAAATGTTTTTGTACTGGGATCCGTTTTCTTCATTGTGATTGAACAAACAGACTTTGATTGCAATTCTAGGTTTATTTTCCTATTTTTATAATGTGGAAGAAGAAAATTTAAATGGTGCTGTGAAATAGTTTAAACATTGCTGATGACTCTTAAATCCTTTTCTTAGATTTAATCAGGTCCACAGAATGTTAAGAGTTTACAAACTGCTAAGGGCCCTTCCACACAGCCCTATATCCCAGAATATCAAGGCAGAAAATCCCACATTATCTGAGAGTGGACTCAGATAACTCAGTTCAAAGCAGATAATGTGGGATTTTCTGCCTTGATATTCTGGGATATAGGACTGTGTGGAAGGACCCCAAATTATCCCTTAGATTTCTGCAGAAAAACCTCCATTCGCTATGCTAACTGTGTGAAGTAATATAGAAAATTTACTGAGTTAGCAAGCAAGCAGCACTTCAAGACTGACTGATTTATAAATTATAGCAAAGGGATAATCTTCCCCTGCATAACCCCCCCCCCCCCCCCCAATATATTCACACAAAAGAAAATCCTGTTGAATTCACCATACTCCTGAGTAAGTGTGCACATAATTTCAACCTTTGTTCTGGGCATGTACATATGTTCAGAGATATTGTCAAATGGCATAGTAGAAAAGATAAAACTTCTCCCCACTAAAGAGTTGAACTGAAGTATCCATAATGCAACTTCTAAAAAGAGAGATAGCTGTCTCATCTTTTGGAGAGACGTACATCTTACTTGGAAGTTACTGTTCCTTGGATGTGCTCCTTTTCACGTCTTTTTTCAAGCAATACTTCTAAAAACCTATAAAAATAAACATTTAGTTATGTGTCCTATTATAAATTTCTGTAAATTATTTTTTGCCACACTCTACGAAATTATACTTGTCTGGAGAAAAGGACACTGAGTGATCGCATGGAGAAGTGAGTTAGGCTACTACTGAATGTCCACCAACCAATTGAGGTAGTGTGTTCACTGCTCTTTAAGTGGTATGCATAGCACTTCAGTGATGATCTCATCTACCTTGGCCAGACAGACATGCTTTTACTTCCTATTTTTTTCGGTTATGCTGCCATCATAAGATCTGGTTCTTGACATTGCAGATGTATAAGGCCTGTAATGCTACAAAGGAAGCCAAATGGGCGGAAGTAGCAGAAGCACTTTGCTATTAGAAATCAACAACATAATTAGAAGGGTCGAACGTTTTGGCCATAATTCCATATGAATGTTTGGAGAGGAATGTGGTCCAAAGATAATGAATTTGCTTTGTGATGTCATTAAAAGAGAACTCGGATATGATGAATAGATAGTAACCCCAAATAAGCTGTCAGAAATGTTCCAGAAAGATTCAAACCAATGTTGGGGATGTCAAGACAAAGATGGCTCTTTTTTTACATGATGTGAACCTGTAAGGAGGAGAGAAATTACTGGACTAATTTTTCTAAGTTAGTTAAAAATATGTAAAGATTGATTTTGTAATGTTACCAGAAAAGCAGAGCCCCCGGTAGCGCAGTGGGTTAAACCCCTGTGCTGGCAAAACAAAAGACGACAGGTCGCAGGTTCGAATCCGGGGAGAGGTGGATGAGCTCCCTCTATCAGCTCCAACTCCTCATGCGGGGAAATGAGAGAAGCCTCCCACAAGGATGATAAAAACATCAAATCATCCAGGTGTCCCCTGGGCAACGTCCTTGCAGATGGCCAATTCTCTCACATCAGAAGCGACTTGCAGTTTCTCAAGTTGCTCCTGACATGGCAAAAAAAAAAAAACAAACCAGAAAAGCCAACTGATTTTTTTTTTTTAAAAAAAAAACATTTATTGATTTTTCTGAGTAATAAGAAATCCAACGATGTAATAATCTACAGTTCTGGTTATTTGCAATTTTATTAGGGTTAATAATTTGGATCTGTATTGGCATTTTTAAAAACTTCATTAAGCCAGGATTGGGTCTCTGACCCCCACTTTTTCCCATCTCCCCTTTTCTTTTTTTCTGAATGTATATTACTTTGATTGTATAATTACGGTCTTTGTCTGGTTTCAAGATGGCTATGACTCTTGCTTTCCTCCAGATTTTGGGGATCTGACAGGGTGCGGTGCAATGCATATTCATTAGCTTGGGCAGGCAGCACCTTTGCTTTTGGACCAAAGTTCTTAATTTGTTCCATCCATAGATCATCCAGGGTAACTGTTTTGCTATTTTTACATTTATTGAGAGCCATGTCCATCTTGAGAGTCAGCCATCTTGAAACCAGATAAAGACCGTAATGATCCAAAAAGCTATCAACCAGTCTCTTTGTTGTGCCATCTTTGCAAAGTTCTGGAGAGACTTATTTTGCATAGAATTAGTGAAAAAATAAACCCATGTATGATTTCACAGCAAGCTTGCTTCAGGAAAAGCAAAAGCTGCACATCACAAGTGTTGAACCTTACTCAGCAGATAGAAGATGGTTTTGAAAGGCTCTCTTCATAGACCTGTCAGCAGCTATTAAGCAGATGGCAAAAACAGAAGAACTGCCTGTCTCAGGGGAGCATGCTTCCTCCATCAGTGTTTAACATTTACACAAATGATCAGCCTCTTCCAGAAGGGGCTTGATCTATGCTGACGATCATGCCATCACCGCTCAAGCAGGGAGCTTTGAAATGGTTAAACAAGCTCGCCAAAGCTTTAGGTGATCTTATTGCATATTACAGGCAAACCAGCTGATTCCTAATACATCTGAAACACAGACATGCTTTTCATCTAAAGAACAGACAGGCATCTTGAGCTTTGAGGATTACCTAGGAAGGAATCCCACTGGGACATTTCAGCACACCAAAATACCTGGGTGTCACTCTGGACTGTGCTCTGAGTTATAAGAAGCAGTGCTTGAATATCAGGTAAAAAGTGGGTGCTAGAAATAGTATCATACGAAAAACTGACTGACACAACCTGAGGATCACAACCAGATACAGTGAAGACCTCTGCCCTTGTGCTTTGCTACTCTGCTGCTGAGTATGAATGCCCAGTGTGGAACACATCTCACCATGCTAAAACAGTGGATGTGGCTCTTAATGAGACATGCCGCATTATCACAGGGTGTCTGTGCCCCACACCACTGGAGAAATTACACTGTTTAGCCAGTATTGCACCAACTGACATCCACCGTGGAGTAGCAACCAATAGTGAAAGGACCAATGCGGTGACATCTCTGGCCCACCCCGTTTCGGTATCAGCCAGAACGCCAACGACTTAAATTAAGAAATAGTTTTCTAAGATCTACAGAGATACTCACAGGAACACCTCAGCCAAAAGTGTCATGCTAAAACCGGGAACCTCAAGCCAAATGAAATTCCTGGGGACACAGAAGACCGGGCAACTTGAAAGGCACTGAACAGACTGTGCTCTGGGACTACGAGATGCAGAGCCAAACTTTAAAAATGGGGCCACAAAGCAAAGTCCATGACATGCGAATGTGGAGAAGAGCAAATCACTGACCACCTGCTGCAATGCAACCTGAGCCCTGCCACATGCACAATGGAGGACCTTCTTGCAGCAACATCAGAGGCACTCCAAGAGGCCAGCTACTGGTCAAAGGGACTTTAGTATAATGTCAGGTTTTTAAACTTTGTGTTTTTTAACTACTTTACAACTGTAGCTTTGGTTCGCTCCTGATACGATAAATACTTTAATTGTAAATTAAATGGCTCATGTTAAAATTGTTTTTTGGGTTAAACCAATTTCTTGTAAGACAACAACAACAAAACGTTATTTATAAACCGCTCTATCTCCCCAAGGGGACTCAGAGCGGTTTCCAAGCAACATCATCAATACAAAGTAAACAACATAAACAGAAAATTAACAAGACAATATAAACATAAAAATCACCATAGCAGATATATATTTAAAATAATCCTGCCTGCTCAAGGCAATTTAAAAGGCCAGACCAAGGCAGGTGCAATTTGTAGAGGGCGCAGGAAATTAGGTACAAGGCAACAACAATAATAGGTAGAGTCTATGGCTGTTCATTTCCAGGGCCTAATAGGAGGAAGTGACCTGGGTAATTGGTAGAAAAAGATATGGCCATATTGAACAGTATCTGGGGCTGAGCTAGAACTAGTCATTCTCAAAGGCTTGTTTAAACCACCTGGTCTTCAAGCTCTTACGGAAGGACAGATATATACATAAATTATAATGCCAAAATACACAACATAACTCACGAAAACCTTTCATTTATGGCTGTTTGGAATAGTGGGAGCTGAAGTCCAAAATACCTGCAGGGCCGAGGTTTGCCCATGCCTCGTGTAGACTCATATAATGCAGTTCACAGGGCCGTAACCAGAAAAAAAAATTCGGGGGGAGGGGTGTAGGGTCACACTGAAGCAAAGA